TGAAATACATTTTATAATAAATTGTAAAATACTAATCAATCAGAATCTCCGGCATAGGAGCCACCCTCGGTTGTTGATTCATCCATAAAGTTTTGGGAGGGGGTGATGCTAATTTCTTGACATCTACGTATGACCTTCAACCAATCGTGGTAGCATATAAGCGTCTCAAGAGACTCAGCGCTCAAACTCGTTCTAGATGCTGTTAGAACGTTGTCGGCCGAACTAAATTCTTGTTCCACGGCAACTGTCAAAATTGGCATTGATAGCACTTGCTTAGCCATCCGTGCCAAATTCGGGAACATTCTTTCTTTTGACTTCCACCACTTTAGAACGTCAAACTCCTTATTTTCGTCAAATTCTACCTCATAATTTATATACAAAGAAATCTCATTAAGTGCGCTTTGTTCAGTAGTGAGAGTTGTTTTAGGTTTTTTCATAAGATTGCCAAAAGCAGATTTAAAAAGTGATTTTTCTTTAGATGAAGATGTATGTGTCGGGGGAGGGGGCGCGTTGCCATATTGTGCACGAAACTCATTAAATAAGGCATAAAATAAATTACTAACCTCGTTGTATTCAACTTGCAGATCTATGGCGTTATCGTCATACATTGGAAATGGACCAAAAAAAGCATTATAATAGAACTTCAAGCATTCTTCCAAATTACCAAGTCTATAACGAGGATCGAGAATAAATGCAATACCATAAATATGCAGAATATGTGCATAATATTTTAAAAACTTTTCCTTCATAAAACCACAAAAATAACTCACGTAAGCGGCATTCTCAAATTCATTAAAAGCACCGGCGAGATTAACAACTTCACGAATAAATTCATTGGAGGTAGGTTTATAAACATGACTAAAACTATCAGTTGCATTATTAAAATGGAATAAAACATTATAATTTTTTTCGCAAGTGTCGATGTGAGCGGAGTTTAAAATATAGTTATCATATTGTCTTAAAAAAGCAGGAAAATGTTCTTTATATCTAAGAATAACTTTAATTAATTTATAAGTACTATTCCACCTAATAGACAAATCTTTAGGAAAAGCAACATATTTCACACCTCTTTCAATCAAATAATTTTGCCATTTTAATTTAAATTGACCATTGCCCCAAATACGTCTAATCCCCTCCTTGACTACCTCCATAGCATCTCCTAACGCTTTTAAACCGTCTTGCACACATAAATTTATAATATGGCATGCACATCGTTGATGAAAAAATCTACCCATCAAAGTATTAGAACCACACAATTCACGCAATCTAGGTATAGCAGCAGTATTATTAGTAGCATTATCAAAACCTATAGCAAACACCTTATCAATCAAATTATACTCAACAGAGTGCACGGACTTAAGATGACTTTTGAGGCTCCCGTATCCGCCGGAAGTTCCCAAGCTATACTCCTTGCAATGATCACAACTTGCGTACCATTTATCGGTTGTTGGGTCTTTCCTCTTTGTAAAATTATTTTCTATTATAGGAGATTTAGATTTCTTACCAACTTGGGATGAACCGCCCTCGTCCTCCAACTCTTGCTCATCATCCGGGGTGCCGTGAGTCCCGTCGCCCCCCTCGTCCTCCTCCGCATCATCATTCTCAAGCTCCTCTTCATCAATGGACTCCGGGATGTTTTGTTGTTGGAAAAAGCGACCATCATTTTGCGCCAATAGTTGTTGTAGTTGCTCGTCAGACAACGCATCCCCATCTAGCCTTTGGTATCCCGTTTCAAAATCTTCTCGACTTTGAGAAGAAGACCCGCTCCGCCCTTTACCTTTGCCTTTGCGTAAACTAGGATGACTTGTCGCAATCTCCTTCCTTCGGTTGCGTGGGAGATTACCCATATCTACGGAATGTCAGCCACGGTCCATCTTTAAAATGTAACAAATATTATATGATATCAAATGTTTTAATATGAGTACAATAGTAATAATAAAATGCGACTTATAAAATTATAGCAAATTTCCAAGAATCTACTTACTAATAAAATTAAGTACTTTTAAACTTTAATGCAACAATTAACAATTAACTAGTTTTATACTTTTATGATAAATGCAACAATTAACAAATTAACTAATAGCGAAATGAAAAATGTAACAATTAACTAGTTTTATGCTTTAATGAAAAATGTAACAATGAACTAGTTTTATGCTTTAATGAAAAATGTAACAATTAACTACTTTTATACTTTAATGGAAAATGTAACAATTAACTACTTTTATACTTTAATGATAAATGTAACAATTAACACTTTAATACTTTAATGAAAAATGTAACAATTAACTACTTTTATACGTTAATGATAAATGTAACAATTAACTACTTTTTTACTATGAATAAAAAAACGATGAATTAACTAATAGAAAAAACAAGACAAGTATTAATTAACTAAATTAGGATAATGAGAAAGGTAAAAATTAACTAATACGATGAATTTAATTACTATGAATTCAAGTGTAACTAATATAATTGTATAACTAATACTCCGTATATAATATAATGTTTATAGTATATAATATATAAGTATATTACTATAAGATGAGTAATACACTTATATAAAATACTTTAATATATATAAGTGAATAACAAAAAATATAGATAATAAAGTAAATATTAAAAAGATGGAGATGTATAATTAGATAATAAGTATATATTAAGTAGATAATAAATATTAGTAATATAATATAGTGAGTCCCGTTCCTATCAGGGGCTCCTGAAGAGAAACTCCGTGCGAACAAGCCCATCAGAGGGTCTTCCCGATGGAATTTTTTGATGAATTTTTTTGAGAATATTCCTCATCAAGTCTAGTTTGTACATACCAAATTTCAGCTCAAAATTCGATCAGGAAGACAGTCAAATAAATCCTGGAGACATACTGCACATTATATGTGCGCAGAATGAGCCATATGTTTCCAGGATTTATTTGACTGCCTTCCCGATCGAATTTTGAGCTGGCATTTTTAATGGACAAACTAGACTTGATGAGGAACATGCTCAAAAAATTTCATAAAAAAAATTCTACCGGGAAGACCCTCTGATGGTCTTGTCCGCACGGGGCTTCTCATCAGGAACTCCTGATGTGAACTGCCCTCATAATATAGGTATATAAGTAGATTATTGTATAACTAATATATAATATAATGTTTATAGTATATAATATATAAGTATATTACTATAAGATGAGTAATACACTTATATATAATACTTTAATATATATAAGTAAATAACAATAAATATAGATAATAAAGTAAATATTAAAAAGATGGAGATGTATAAGTAGATAATAAGTATATATTAAGTAGATAATAAATATTCGTAATATAATATAGGTATACCAGTAGATTATTGTATAACTAATATATAATATAATGTTTATAGTATATAATATATAAGTATATTACTATAAGATGAGTAATACACTTATATATAATACTTTAATATATATAAGTAAATAACAATAAATATAGATAATAAAGTAAATATTAAAAAGATAGAGATGTATAAGTAGATAATAAGTATATGTTAAGTAGATAATAAATATTAGTAATACAATATAGGTATATAAGTAGATAATTAATATATAAGTAGATATAATAATTATATATATATGTGTGTGTGTGTGTGTAGAGAGAGGTTTGGAGAAGATGAAGATGGAGATGATTGAGTATGAGAGAATAGAAAATTAGAGAGTAGGATTGTACGAAGATGGTGTGAAAATGTAGAGAAAATAGGAGTATAAATAGAATTTTTTGGTATCCCCCACCCCCACCCAAACCCCCCGGACCCCCCCCTCCTCCCCCTCCAACGGCTATAGAGCCGTTTGGGATTATTCCCAACGGCTAGGAGCCTTCTTCAATTTAAAAAAAAATTAAAAATTAGCCGTTGGAGGCCCAAACCGGGCCCGGCTGGGCCGGTTCATCATTTGCAAGGCCCGAGCCCGGACCGCCTACCTACCGGGCCGGGTAGGCCCGAACTGGCCAGCTGACCGGTTCCCGGGCCGGGCCGGAACAGTACCGGTTCGGTCCGACCGGCCCGAGTCCACCCCTAGATAGAACTGTATATATTATTGATTTAATTTGTTTGTGACTAGTTCAAAAACGTTTACGAATATATACGTTCTATGTGATATAGTTGAGATGAATATTTATTATTTTATCAATATAAAATCTTTAAGTTATCTAAAAATAAAAGTTAATTACTACTAATAAGTACTACCTCCGTCCCGCTAGAAGGTTCCCATAGCAAAATGGAACAGTTATTTAGGTGATAATTAAATAAAACACTTCGGGTATATTTTGAAAAATTTTAGCTATGTAAAAATAGCTAAAATGGTCATCTACACTAACTTTAGCCAATACAGCTAGAAAAGTAACTCCAAATTTTTCTGCTTATTACACAATTCAGCGCGCAAAATATAAAGTTACATGTCTGGTGAAAAAAATGATTGATAAACCGAAATAGTGTTGTCAAACGACCTCAAAAACTTTAAAGCGAAAATGTCAAATAGACTCTTCAACTAATTCAAATACATCACTTAAACTCCTTTACTAAATAAAGCATCATTTTGAAATACGATAAATTCAAAAAGGCTGAAGGGTCAAATAGGTACATGAACTAACTTAAAGTGTTCAATTAGTCCCTTGTATAGGTGGTTCTGCCCGGCCGTCGCCAATTGGGGTGGTTCCCGGTGGAATTTTTTTATGAAACTTTTTGAGCATCTTCTTCATTAAGTCTAGTTTACCCATACCAAATTTCAGCTAAAAATTCAATCGTGAAGGCAGTCAAATGATTTTTTGAAGATAACTGCGCAGTTAAACAGCGCAATACAATTCGGAAAATCATTTGACTACCTTCCCGGTTGAATTTTTAGCTGAAATTTGGTATGGATAAACTAGACTTAATGAAGAAGATGCTCAAAAAATTTCATCAAAAAATTCCACCGGGAACCGCCCCAATTGGCGACGACCGGGCAGAACCTCCTATATAAGGGGCTAATTGAACACTTTAAGTTAGTTCATGTACCTATTTGACCCTTTAGCCATTCAAAAAATACTTCGATCCAGCCATGTAATCGGTTTTTAACTTGTAATAGCAGGTTTTCATTTTATAAAATCCTAAAAAATGTTAAATTTTAAATAAATATAAATAAAACATCTGAACAATTTAATAATGTCTAACTCTCTATGTTTTGCCATTTTTGGATTTGTTTTTAACTTTACACCTTTTTTAAAAGTTTTTAGATTATTTATTTAATATTTTTTTTATTTTATTTTAATGAATTTATATATTATTATATTTTTTCAAGTTTATAAGATTTTTTCAAAATTTATGAATTTTCATAATTTATGAATTGACTTAAATGATTGTGTTCTCAAAGTAAACATACTCATAAGATGCTTTTTGTAATACAGGGGATTAGGGGATGGATTTGAAATAGTAGAAGAGCATGTTAACTCCCTTTTGCAAAAAATACCTATATAGAAAATATAGCCCCCTTATTTCAAAATTGGGAAAGGATTTTTGAAGGATTGAAAATGTGATTTCCCTAAAATAATTATATGAAAATTTGTACATCCTCTTGTGTACTATAGTAGTTTTTTTTTTTAATTAAAAGAAAACGACATAAAAAGCAGTTTTTTTCCAAAAATAATGTTAAATAAAAAAATAATTCCCGAAATATGGTCAGATTAAAAGTATTTCCCAAAATATTGCTCCCATAAACCTGAGTTAAAAGAACCGCCACTTAAAGTTTTATCACTTTGAAATTAAAATGAGATTTTTAATTTTTGTGGGGCCCTACCCCTACCTCAATATGACAATGTTCGTTACTTCTTTGGCCTCCTTCAGCGCACATTACTCGTTTTGGCATAAGCCGGCAAGCCGCCACTTCAAGTGGCGGTTGTTTTAACTCAGGTTTAGGGGAACAGTATTTTGGGAAATACTTTTAACTTAACCATATTTTTGGAATTATTTTTTTATTTAACATTATTTTTGGAAAAAACTCCATAAAAGAAACAAAACAATTCAATGAATGAAACTAAATGCAGATTATGCAACACACCCAGAAAGATGAGGAAGTTCAGTCCAAACGCAGTGAACTATTCCTCTTGTGTTGTAATAATTTTCACTTGAAAAACTCTTGGGAAAGTTGTGCCACTTCTTCGATGCAAGGCAATAAAACAACCCTTTACCGTCGTAGAACCTCGGAAAGAAGATCTTGTTTCCTGTCCCGCTAAAGGTTGTTTTCCGTGATATGGATGTTCTGTGAGAAACATAAAATGATTTCCCATTCAGATTCTCTATCTTCCGCCAAATGTTATTATAATCATCGAACCTCAAGACCCGAACTTCACCGCCCTCAAGAGTTGCAACACATATTAGATTGCCGTCACTCTCCAAGAGAAACCGATCTTGAAATTTTAAAAACTGGTTTTTATTATGCTTGCCAATGATCTTCCAGTCACACAGTTCCTCCAACCCCTTGGACGTAAGCCAAAACTTTCCTAGATTTCCAGATTCCCCTAGAACATATATGAATCCATTGCGCACAACAGGGGAGCAATTGGAACCAAAAAAAATTGTTTCCTACATTCTGAGGGAAACACATTGACCAACGTGTCTCACCCAATTTTAACGTTGCAATTAAAGTGATAGATGTATGGCAGCTATAAATGCCATATACACACCAGGCAGATGTTGGTGATCCAGAAAAACATGCCCACTCCAACGGTTCAAGCGTGTCAGGGAGGTCTATTTTAACCTTGGTTGACGGGTTATAGAAAAAATATGACTGCCTACCTTTACCAAGAAGCAACCAGCCACGACTTGCGTAAAAAAGTTCAACTTCACCAATTTCATCATCCAACAAGGGAGGAATGCTACGTGAATAAGTGGCATTACGTGTTGGATCGTGGAAGTTGAAGAAGCCGGTTTTTCTGGTGAAGTACATGAGATACAGGTCATGGTATGAGGCCTTATCATGCGGGCAGTGATCAAGTAATGACAGTGATGACGGAAGAGGATGCAGAGTTGCTGCTTTCCACGATTTACATACCGACTTGAAAGTAAGATGGTCTCCAATGGCTAACCGTGAGAGTATGGAAGACAAGAGGTCCTCACAGAGATCCGACCACTCCCTTTGTTTGTCATCATCAGCTTCATCATCCTTATTGCTAATTCTGTTGCTGCTAATCGTCATCATTATCTTTCACTTTACTCGACTTCTATGATCTCTTCCAACAGCCTACAATGTAATTCCCTGCAAAAACAAAAGCAGTGTGTGGGTGAAAAGAATTTATTTCCCAACTGATATTAAATTGAAAGGGTTTTGGCTATGGCCATTATTTCCCGTTTATCTATCAAAGAGTTTTTTCAGCCCAGGCCGTCTAGTTCATAAAATAAACTAAAAGTATAACCTACATAAAGAAAATCAAGAGTAAATAAATAACATGGTCAATAATTCAACTATGACTTCAGTTTTTGCATATATACGTAGTACTATACATCTTCCAAAATTTTAAAATTATGGTTTTGATTAACTGAAAAACCCATAAATTCTTTGAGAACACTTCTCAACCTTCTAATATCAAGATACTTTGAATTACTTACGTAAACTTTTAAATTTTTATCGAAATTGGAAAACAAATGTGTGACCTTTTTCTTCTCTGGTCCAAACTCTAAAGCTTGAGTTTCTCATCCCTCCCGCTGTTTGAAGAATAGATCGATTGAATGTATAAAAGGCCCCTATGCATAGTGTTTGTCATATAGTTTATTTAAAATTAAATGTTTAAATATAACAAAAATGCAATACTTTAATAAAGGTCTTACATTATGCTACAAAATAAATAAACACATACTTTATGAAATCCTTAACATTATATATTCGTAATTTTCTCAACAAAATACAAAACATATAGCATTTGTTTACGCAAAGAAAAATTCCATTAATATTACTATTGAAAACATGCTGCACAAAAATATTACTAGTTCTCAACCGTTATTTAAAACGGAAAATAAGATTTAATTGTGTTCCTAATTTATCCTTCCAGCATACGTAGTAAACTGTCTCCCCTAAAAATCTCTCTACCGCATTTTTCAAAGTAGAGCCAAATTCTGCAAAACTTCTTCTAATCTCGATAAAGTATCACATATTTCGGATGTTTTCTCCTTCGTAATATATCTCAGGTAATACATCACTGCTCCTCAGTGTAAACCTAGTAGTATTAGTGCGCTTCCAGAACAATGGGATAAGAAGTAAAAGAACTTTCCATTATTAAGGTGCTGTAGCAGGCCCTAAAATGTTTGACTGCAATTTTATGGACTGATTGCACTCACACAACATATGGTTTCTACAACCAACTAATAGTTACTAACTACACACACAAAAATCGTGATTCATGACTAGTAGACTACAATTCACTTACCTGAAACAAAGGCATACTAGTCAGTAGTCACTATAGGTACTGCTTTGTTGCATCATCTACATACAAGTTTTAAGAGACATACAATGACTAGCTACACGCTGAACCAAACACATTCTTCTCACTGTAGTGGGTAGTGACTATTGCGCTTCATACAAGTTTTAAACACAATCTTAATATACTTACAGTGACTACATAATCTTGACTCGTAAAAGTGACCTTGTAAGCTGTAATCGTGACTATAACTCACTTTACACTTAAGTTAATACATACTCCGTATAATTAGGAAAATTGTACCTGAAACACTCTACACTTTGCAGTTTCTGAAAAAGTGCAACAGTACTGAATCTATATGAAACAACTGACCCAAACAGACTAATTTGTTAGACCCACCAGATTAAGAAGAGCTCCCAGGATAGGGAGGAACATTGCACACAAGGGATAGGTGTTTGGCTATTGTGCTTATTCTAGTTTACAATTTAGAATTTATTAATAGTATTATGCCGAATTGAACTATCGATTTATGGTCTTGTGCGATTAGAGGCGTGTGGCACTGTGGCGTTTAACGCCATATGAAAACTGCAATATTTTGCCTGAGGCGTACACAATAGAGGGTGAGCGATGAATTAATAGTAATAATTTCAATAATTGAAAAAACATACCCTAATCCTCTCGTTCGTATCACTGCCTCTGCTATTCACTTATTCGGTAAGCGCCGAAGCTTCTCCAGTAATCGTCTACCACTCCCAAATTATACCTTAATTCTAAATTCTCTTCCTACTCCTTCAATTCCGTTTACTTTACTACTCAATTCTCTTGAGGTCTAGTCCCATCTAGTTTGGCGTGTTCGGTTCTGAATCGGTCTTGTGTAAATATTCCGTATTTAACACATGTTTACACGGGTTACTAAATAGTTCTTATTAAGGCCCGCGTTAACAAGTGACGCATAAAATAAACAATGTTGTAAGATCGTGTTTACTTCAAAAGGTTTAAAACACCGTTTAACATCAAAATGTCCAAAATAACCATATACATATATCGACACTCAAACATTCATGAACACACATATAATAATATGTGTACCCATACCCTCTTAACCCCTTACCCCCACCCTACCTTACCCCGACCCCACCAATCCCATCCCTAGGCACTACCCCTTCCCTTAGGCCCTTATCACCCTACCACCTCAGCCCCACCCCACCCTACCTATCATACTCTTTCCCTGCCCTACCCTACCTTACACCAACCCCACCCTACCCCTACCACCCCAACCCCTAGCCCTAGGCCCTTACCACAAACCCCCTACCACAATCGGACCCCTGACCCCACCCCTATTCCGAGGTCGTTACCCTACCACTCCGCCCCACCCCGACCCCACCCGATCATACCCTAACTCATACCCTCTACCTACCCTACCTTACCCAGACCCCGATCCCACCCCACCCCCTACTTCTACCCCTACCCTACCTTACATCGACCCCAGCCCCTACCCTAACCCCTTAAACCCTACCAACCTTATCTCAACCCGATCCCGATCCCGACCCCTACCTCGGCCCCACCCCGATCCCAACTCCACCCCACCCCACCCACACCCCCTACAACATGACCTACCTCGACTCCACCCAGATCCCGGCCCACCCCCTACCGCCATCCTACCCCACATAGGGTGGAGTCGGAGGTGGAACCAATGTGGTAGGGGGTAGGGGTTGGGGCAGGGTGGTAAGGGTAAGGGTGTAGGGGTGGGATCGGGGTGGGGCCAATATGGTAGGGTATATATGGAAAGGGTGGGGGTAAGGTAGGGTAGGGTGGGGTCGGGGATGAAGGGTCGATGTGGTAGGGTAGGGGTACAGTAAGAGCCTAAGGGGTTTTGGAGTGGGGTCAGGTAGGTAGGGTAGGGTGGGGTCGGGGTAAGGTAGGGTAGGGGTTAGGATAGGTGGGGCCGAATGGGGTAGGGGGTTGGGGTGGACATGGATGTGGTAGGGGGTAGGGTGGTGGTGGGGTCGGGTGGGGCAGATATGGTAGGGTTAGGGTAGGTTGTAAGGGCCTAGGGGTTTGGGGTGGGTAGGGTAGGAGGGGCCAGGTGGGGTGCAGTCGGGCAGGTAGGGTTGGGGTAAATTAGGGTAGGGGTAGGAATAGGGTAGGATAGGATAGGATAGGATAGAGGTGGGGGTCGGGTAGTAGAGGCGGGGTAGGCGGTAACAATAGGGTAAGGGCAAGGGGTAAATTCGGAAACTGAAAAAGCTTAAAGTGTCACTTAATTAATATATGGGGGTGGTATGCTTAGTAAGCGGCACTTTAAGCACGTTTTTTGGTTAGTAAGCGGCTTTTTAAGCGGCGTGTGTGTTTACTTCATCTGTCTTACTAACCTAACTGTGACTTTAGCAGCGAAGTAAACACCTTGTTAGTCTATGTATTTTATAACTATGGAAATCTCGTTTAGTCTGGTGTGATCTGGTCTAATCTGGTTTGATCTGGGAGTGAAAATTATCCAAAAGAAAATAGGGAAAATGGAAACTAATAATCCAACCTTTTAGCGGTCTTCTTTTAATAGTCCGACATTTTCGTTATTCATGAATAATCCAACCTTTGCATCTCATCTTCATTCATTGGTCCCCGACCAGTTGATGACCTGCTATTCCGAGTTATTTTCTCATCTCTGCAAACTATTATACCATAAATTCCACCTTTTACAAAGATAATATTTTGCAAAGATAAGAAAATAACTTGGAATAGCAGGTCATCAACCGGTCAGGGACCAGTGAATGAAGATGAGGTGCAAAGGTTGGATTATTCATGAATAACGAAAATGTGAGACTATTAAAAGAAGACCGCTAAAAGGTTGGATTGTTAGTTTTCATTTTCCCAATAAAATATCCAAAGTCTTGTTAGGATAGCATGGGCGGAGCTAGGGCAGGGCCATCCCTGGCCCTGGCCCAGCCCAAATTTTAAAAATGCCTGTATTTTTAGTGTAAAAAATTATGTGTAAAAAAAATTTCAAAAATATTCTTTGTACCGGCCCAGTGCGGCCCAGTGCCTTGGCTCCGCCCCTGTAGGATAGTGTGTTGGCTCGTAAGACTACGAGTAGGAGGGGTGATGTGGAACGTTGCTAAGATCGAAAATTACTCGTTTGATCTTACATTCTTACGAGGCACTCACTTAGTCACTTCTACTAGTTCCATTCGTTATTAGTAAGTTGTGTCGGCAAGATCGCTAGCATCGTCGATTGCAAGGATTAGCAAATCGTTAGTTGCTTTAGAAAAAAATTATCACCAAGTGTCTAGAATAACATGGCTTTTTAAAATTTTGAGTTAGGACTTACGAAGATTTATGAAGCTCAAGCTCCGTCAGTTCGATCAAAAATTAAAGGTAGAATTTCATTTTGCACCCCACTTTTTGGGTGATATTGGACTTTACTGTTGGGTGTGTTTCGGAAAACAATGAAAAATTAATTGAAACAAATTAATTAAAATGACTAAAGAAAAACAAGAAATGAGATGGAGTAGAATTTAGCCAAAGCTCGTGCTACGTAGAAGTCCTTAAAACTTATTTGTTGCCTCCCACTGTGCTAGGAGCGTTGCAACAATCGTTTCTCAGGATACGATGACTACGAACTAATGCTTGAGCACACAAACAAGAGTTCCAGCGAACGAGAACAAAGTCTGAACACTCAGGAATTTTCAGAGGACTGGTGGTGTTTTTAGAGCTGAGAAATACGTGAGGAATGTGTAAGAACTTGTGTTGTTGCAAACCACATGCCAACCATTATATAGGAGGATTTGTTGTGTGTAAATGGTGAATTAATGGACCTGAACGTTGGACATCAATGACCAGTCCGTTGGGCATTGAATCGTCCATGAACTGTCCATTTAACGCTGCATTAAAAGATAAGAACATTGAGCATTTATTGTTGTAACGGTTCAAAACGTCCAGTTGCGCGACCAGAAGACCCCCCAACAGAACACCCTACGAGGTGTTCTGTCCGAAGGCAACAGAACACCCTACGAAGGGGTTCTGTCTGAAGCCTTTTGTCTGAGGCGTTTCTGGCCGAGGCCTTCTCCTGTCCGAAGCCTTTCTGCCGCTGGGAAAAAATAAACGTTTCGGGAAGAAAACAAAAATTAACCGTATCTCTTGAGAGATAGATTTTTGGATGACATTCGTGTCCGCAGGTCGCCCGCGCACGCAAGTCGCGATTTTTCTTCTCCGATTTCGGGATTTGATTTGCACCCCCCTGCGCGCGTGGAGAGAACCTTTACACTAAGGAATCTTAACTCCTTAAGGGGAGAGTCCCTTTATAAAGGGTTGCAAATCCCTCGGGTTTTCCGGTGTGGGAAATAACACACTAGAACACATCCTTTTTCCCAGTTTTCCCATTCTAACGGGTAAACTTCGAGAATCAATTTCTCATTCACCCGTTATCCGTTTTGAACGTACCACATATCGAATTGTAGCCCTCTTAACAAGGACAATCCGAAACCACTTTGACACATTTTCCAACATTTACATCCCGACCAATTTGAAAAAACTTTGATTTTGCACCCCAACACATAACACTCTGTGAAGAAAATTTTCTAAATGGCATGCAAAGTCAAAGGATTTTTAAGTAGAATGAGGTGCAAAGTCAGAATTTTTTCAAAATGGGGTGCAAAGTCCAATATTATCCAAAAAGTGGGGTGCAAAGTCAAATTCTCCTTTACGATGTGAAAGATTGTGCCTATCAATTCGAAGCTTTGATTCGATTTATATATGTGCTTCGTCCTACCGGGGGCGTAGCTCACCTGGTAGGAAGGGAGTGCCCCAAGGGAGGGGTCTCGGGTTCAACTCCAAGTAATGATTTGGGATAAAGTTTCACTCTCTTTCTATTAGAGTAAGATCAAACCTCAATTTACATCCTCCCATCTCGTTGTCCGGTCGGTGCTGTGGGGCCTCAGGGATGGGGTCTGGTAATCGTCATTGGTTTGATTATGCCCAAGTTAGGATCAACGAGTTATATTGTTTTGTCAAATGTGATTAATTCTGAGTCTGATCCAAGGGCGGATGGTTACATACTTACATGTGGTCCTTTTGATATTTCAAACCCTATCTGATTGCTATTTCATTAATGTAAGCCCCCTTCGATAAAAAAAAGTTTTTAAAATGACAAAAACGTACCGTACAAGTAGTTGTACAAATTACATTATAAAAATTTAATTGATGTCCTTAAAAATCATTTAACAGGTTACTAGTATAGCACCCGTGCATACGCATGGGACACATCAGTTGTTGCATATATTTTTACTCATGATCTAATTAAATATTAAAATAAAAACAACTTATTAGGATTCTACATTTACGAAAAAATAGTAGTTCAATAAGCTAATGCCATGAAATATAAGCCCATAGAATACATATTCAATGGAGAGTATATTAGGAAAAGTTAATTGACACTACTCATTAGAATTTGCTACTTATTCATTTTCATGATTAGATTAATTTTAAAATTGAATATTATTCTAAAAAAGTGAATTCAATAAGTGAGTGACGTAAAGTTTAAGTGAACACAATAAATATTAAAATTAACGAATATTAGTTAAATAATAACTTGTCATTCATTAGTAAATTAGTGCTAATATGTGTGAGAGAAAATTATCCTTCTCAATTCTTAGCCGGCTTATCTTGTTATACCTAAAACAACTACGTATGAGAAAAAATTATCCCACCCAATTGTTAGCCGGATTATCTTATCTTATACCTAAAAGCACTATGTATGAGAGAAAAAATTATACTCTTTAATTGTTAGTCGGCTTATCTTATACTAAACACAACTACATATATGATGATTCTCCCGCTCAATTGTTAACAACTTTATCTTTTAAT